CCTGTAAATCAATAATTAAAAGACAAAGAACTCATTTTTTAAAATGGGCATAAAATCTGAACAGGTAACTTACAAAATAAGATACTCAAATAGCCTATAAACACATGTGAAAATATTCAAAATTTTTAGTCACCAGGTTAATGCAAAGTAAAACACAATGAGATACTACCACCACATACACACATATACATAGAGCTGTAATTAAAAAAAATTATTAATGCTAGATGTTGAAGAGGATATAGAGAAACCTTAAGTTTTCATAAGTTCTGGTGGAAGCATACAATGACTTTGGAAAAGTGTTTAGCAGTTTCTTTAAAAGTTAAAAATACCTTATGACCCAGAAATATTGCTCATAGATATTTTCCCAAGAGAAATGAAAATGTACATTTACATGAAAGTTTATATAAGAATGTTCATACATAGCAGTTTTATTCATAGTAGCCCAAAACTGAAAACAATCCAAATGTTCATCAACAGGGAAGGAAATTTTTTTAAAACTGTGGTACTTTCAATGAATGGAACACTGCTCAGCAATATAAAGGACTGAACTAGTAACACACACAGCATGAATGAATCTCAAAAATATTATGCTTAGTAAAAGAAACAAAACACAAAAGAGTACATATTTTAAGATTCCATTTATGAGAAATTCTAGAACAGAAAAAACTACCGTGTGGTGACAGAAAGGAGCTCAGTGCTGCAGGAGGAGTGGAAGGACTGACGGGGAAGGGGCAGGAGGGGACATTCTGAACTGATAAAAGGATTTCACATCTTGACAGGCAGTTGCCAAAACTAACGGAACTTAAAGATCTGAGCATTTTATTATAAACAAATAATACCTCAGTTTTTTAAAAAGTTAATAAATGTCGTTATAAATGCTTTATATTTTAGGTGGTACCTCCTTAGATGTACTTTATAAAACTGTAAACTTTTCTAAAGTCCTGGCTCTGCACATTGATTTCTGTCATACATAGAGTTTGATTCTCCCTATATGTCCATGATGGAGAAGGCGATGGCACCCCACTCCAGTACTCTCACCTGGAAAATCCCACAGACGGAGGAGCCTGGTGGGCTGCAGTCCATGGGGTCGCTAAGAGTCGGGTACGACTGAGCGACTTCACTTTCACTTTTCACTTTCACGCATTGGAGAAGGAAATGGCAGTCCCCTCCAGTGTTCTTGCCTGGAGAATCCCAGCGCCGGGGGAGCCTGGTGGGCTGCCGTCTATGGCGTCACACAGAGTCGGACACGACTGAAGTGACTTAGCAGCAGCAGCAGAATATGTCCTCACCCCTACTCAGCTGAAATGCTGGCCTGAGTTCTTGGTAGGGGTGTGGAGGAAGTAGCATTTCAGAAGAAACTCTGAGAACAGGGTGAGGCAGATCCCAGGGACGCCGCAAGAATAGGAGCTTTACCACCCTGTTCTTGGGGGTACAGGGCGTCCACCTGTGGGACAACTGTGCAGAGTCGACTACCAGGTACAAAATCCTGTAATGAGGTTATCAAGGAGTGATTCTTCACACCCACCCCTTTTTGCATAGAAGCAGAGGGGACGTGAGGATATCTTGCCTTACTTTTCAACTAACCATAAACTAAACAAATTACCCAATTCATTGACTTGAACTCCACTTTGTCTTTAGAATACTCAACTTTGAATATAACTTGGCTAGAGGAAGCCACCTGATCTTTGCTGTCACAAAAGATGTTACAAAGAAGAGAACACAATTGACTTTCACTTAAATGTTTTGTCTCGCAAATGCATTAAGTCATTGGTGCCAAGCTCAAGTTGTTTCATACACCAAAATAACCAGTTTGGCCTCATGACTCCCAATAAAAGCTGGCACAGATTAAGCATGTTACCACCCTCCAAAACTGAAGTCTTTGGAGAAATGTGTAAGTGAATGAAATTGTTCAGTTGAGGAAGTTGGTAACTTAATTTTTAATGTGCTTATTCAGGGCTGAGACTAGTGTAGTTGGAATTTAGAGACATTTGGAAGAAGAATGGAAGTTTGGTGTTCTTTGGTCACAAGAACACACTGTGACTTAAATATAGAAGCAGATAACATTGTTTTTTAGAGGAAAATAAGTGCTTTGATGATTTTAGGTCCTTGGTCTATTTATTTCACAAATGCACGCATGGGTCTTGCAGAGTCTGATTCTGGACCACAGTCGTCACTAACAAAAGCTACAACCTGAATGTAGTCTCTCTGCCTGTGATGAGCAGATGCAGAGGTGGGAGACCCTGACCGTAAGCTTGATTTGTATCCATCCCTTAAACAAGTATCAGATGCTGAATGCAACCACATTATGGGGAAAACAGCATTGCTGTCCACAGAGAAATTTTTTTCCTGGTCTATTGTTACTTAATTCAGAGAAGCATATCAGTTCAGTTCAGTTCAGTCGCTCAGTCGTGTCCGACTCTTTGCAACCCCATGAATCGCAGCACGCCAGGCCTCCCTGTCCATCACAAACTCCCGGAGTGTACTCAAACTCACGCCCATCGAGTTGGTGATGCCATCCAGGCATCTCATCCTCTGTCGTCCCCTTCTCCTTCTGCCCCCAATCCCTCCCAGCATCAGGGTCTTTTCCAATAAGTCAACTCTTCGCATGAAGTGGCCAAAGTATTGGAGTTTCAGCTTCAGCATCAGTCCTTCCAATGAACACCCAGGACTGATCTCCTTTAGGACGGACTGGTTGGATCTCCTTGCAGTCCAAGGGACTCTCAAGAGTGTTCTCCAGCAGCACAGTTCAAAAGCATCAATTCTTCGGTGCTCAGCTTTCTTCACAGTCCAATTCTCATATCCATACATGACCACTGGAAAAACCATAGCTTTGACTAGACCGACTTTGTTGGCATGTCTCTGCTTTTTAATATGCTATCTAGGTTGGTCATAACTTTCCTTCCAAGGAGTAAGCGTCTGTTAATTTCACAGCTGCAGTCAACATCTGAACTGATTTTGGAGCCCCAAAAAATAAAGTTTGACACTGTTTCCACTGTTTCCCCATCTAGTTCCCATGAAGTAAACATGATGTTGTAATAAGGAAGGATGATGCTTAGTGGTTAAATTTCTGATTTTCTTGTAATCATACCCTTCTATGTCTGTGACTGCTTCTTTGTAGGTTCACCTTACTTGGTCAGTTCACCTTACCCACTGGTGATATTCTACACAATTCAACTCCTGAACCCTCTATTACTTTTCTTCACTATCCCCACCCCACTTGTAGACCCCTCCACTATTATCTCAACTACCACCACTTTATTGATAGACTCCAACTTCATGACTGCAATCTTCTTCTCTCCCTTTTTTCATTCTGATCCTACTGTTTACTTTTCACTTGGATAACCCATCATGCCCCTAACACTGCATATCAAGTCAGCACAATCCCCCCTTTCTATAATATCCCTTAATCGTATCACCAGGCTGCAAGACTCCCTTTCCAAAACCTTGACTGCTAATTTATTTCTCTCCTTTCTTCATCTACATCCTATCAGTGATCAAGTCCTGGTAAATTTTTTTCACAATGTTCTCTCTCCGCTGACATCTCCATTGTCTAGTCCACCAGGATGTCTCTCAGATGACTGCAGTAAGCTGTTACCAGTTTCCCTGTGTGTCTACCCACTATCTATTCTCCACAGAGCAGCAAGCATATTCATTTCAAAATGCAAAGTTGAACGTCACCTCCTGGTTAAAAGATTCCAATGTTTTCTTATTGTTCTTGAAATAAAAACAAAGAACCCGCTATTATCTGGCCCCCGCCTTTCTTCCCAGTCTCATGCCAGCACTCTCTACTTTGCTTGCCATAGAATAACCCTACTAATCACATTTCACCGTTTTGAATGCATGTTCCCTGCCTCCATAGGGCTTTGCATATGCTGTTCCCATTTTCTGGAATGATTTTTCTCCTTTTCCTCGCCTCCCTTTGCATAGTTCACTCCAGCGAACTTCACCTCCAGTGAAGTTCTTCACCTCCAGTTCAAAAAATTTTTATTTTATTCAGAGAAAATATTCCTGATTTCTAACTGCCCAAACTAGATCAGATTTCATCCTGTTATACATTCCCATATCATCTTATACTTTTCCTTAATAGTATTATTATAGCTTGTAATTAATCTTTATGTGATTATTTGAGGAATGTCTGTCTCCCTCACTGGTGTATTAACTCCAGAATGGCAAGAGTCACGCCTCTGAGGCTCACTAAATCACTGGCATACAGCACATTGCATTCTACTCGCTAAGAGATCAAAGAACATTTGTGGAATTAATGAAAGAAGCTCCTCCATGTTTGCCCTTTTCTTTGTCTTCCCATTGCCACCATCACTGTTCAGACCCTTCTGACCTCATGTTTAAGTGACCAAAATATTATATGGTCTCCTGTGTGAAACTTCTCCCCTTTCCAATTTAATCTGCACATCTTCAGATCAATCTCTCAAAACAATGCTTTCACTGTGGCTCTTTTCTGGTTAAAAATTATGCAAAGTTTCAGAACTAAAATGGAAAACCCTTATTCTAACCCTGTCACCTGTTCATGATCAATCCCTTTTCACGCCTCCGTGTTTCTATATGACCTCCTGACTAAACTCTCCAGCTCAACCCCACTGATGTATGCAGCGATGGCTGTGCCGGTGGGGCACTGAGCAAGCCCTGGAATGCCGCCGATGTCACAGTCCAAGTGAATGATACCCCTGGAGTGAAGCAGGGCATAAACGATGCGGCCAAACACAGCAACCCCACGAACATCACCTTAAACTTCTGCTCTGTTACCTCCCACCTTTGGTAAGATGTTTGCCTGCTCTGGAATGCCCTTCTTCGTCTCCACCAGTCAAACTCTGACCTGTCTCCATAGTCCTGTCTCTTCTGTGCCCAGTCACAATGCCCTGCATTCCTGAATTCCTGTAACACATCTTGCCTTGGTATTTACTATCGCTGTGTACTGGTTTTTAGAGTTCTTTAGTGTGGTGCGGAGGACAGAGCGCTGGAACTGGAGTCAGATGTGCCTCGGTCTACTTCAGCAACAGCAAGGGCGCTTTGGGGAACACGAACGAGTGGTCCCGGGCAAACGGCATCAGGTCCGGAGCCTCCGCTTCCTGCCTGGACGGCGGGAACAGCGGAACCCGGCAGGCTGTTGCGAGAGTGCCTGCAGGCTTTCGAAAGGGAGAATGATTTGCCTGAGACACACGGCCAGCAGTGAGGCACTGCACAGAGTGTTCGCTACCTGGCAACTGTCTTCCAGACAGACTAGAAACGCCTTGCCGGAAAGGGGCTGTGCGTTTTACTCCTGGGTGTCCCTCAGAGCAGCTAGCGGCGTCATCCACGTGATGAGTAGTCAACTGACGTCTGCTGTGGAAGAGCGAAGCCAGCCTGGCGACTGCGGGCAGCAGACGAAGGTGTCCCGCAGCCCCGGCCTCCCGCCGTGCCCACGCCGGCTGCGCATCCCGCAGCCCCGGCCTCCCGCCGTGCCCACGCCGGCTGCGCATCCCGCAGCCCCGGCCTCCCGCCGTGCCCACGCCGGCTGCGCATCCCGGCCTCCCGCAGCCCCAGACTCTTCAGGCAAGGCCCTGAACCCAGGGGCCGCGCGACGCCGTCAGTGACTCCTGGGCACTTTCCATTTTCTCCACGCTCATGACAGAACGGGAGCAGCAACAGAAATTCCGCGGTGACACGTCAGGCACCAAGGGAGTCAGGACAGAGCCCCGTCAGGAAGTCAGTCCGTCCTCGGGGACTGAGAACGGGATGGAAGCACACCTCGCTCTCATCAACAGAGTGCGTACAAAATCACTCAAGAGTCTCTATCTCCATCAGCAAAGCAGGGTTAAAGACTGAGGATGCAGAGGCCATCTAAATACACAAAAAGACTTTCTGCCCTTGAATCAGAAAGGAAAGAGATCTTTGATGTCATTTAGATCAAATTCCAATCAAGTAAAATAATGTCTAATATAGCTCATGGCCTCTACTGAAACATTTCCACTGACAGGAAACCCACCGTCTAGGAAGACAGCCCACTGAGAGACCAACTATAATTTCCACTTTATAGCACATTTAATCCAAACCCTGATTTCATAGGTTATGAAACTGAAGGCTGTGGCAGAAGAGACAGGACATCATATAGTAATATACAGGCAGGGCTCAAACAGGCTTCTGTCATTCCTCAGCTCATAAGAAATTCAAAATACACCTGGGCCCCACCACATCCCTTTTTATTCCTATTCTTTGTCTCTGGCTCTGTCTCCAGAGCCAAGGGGACTCTACCTAATTCCTTTTCCACATGGCAGTCTTTCAGATTTTTCAAGAAAGCCTTACTGCAGCTTCTGAATCTTCCTCCAAAAGAGAAGCCGCATTCTCTATTCCCGCCCAGCTTTTCAATTTTCCTTCACTTGGCCTGAGTCTATACCCTCACCATCTTCAGCACTCACTCTCCCACAGGCTGAAGACACTCTTCTACTCAGACACACCCAGTACTGAGTAAAATCCCAGCAGTAAGAATACAGTGGGCCATGAGCTTCCCTTGATCTTGACACCTCATTTCTGCCATTGTTCAGAGAAACAGCTTTACCTTTTCAGCAACCAGACCACACTGTTGAACAAGCTACAGTAGTTATCTATTGAGCACTTAATGTATCTCAGGTACTGTTCTAAGTGCTTTACATGGGTTTAATTCTTATAACAGTTCCAGCGACATTATTTAGAACTGATATCACCATCTTCCTCTTCCAGGCAAGGAAAATAAAACACAGGTTTTAAGAAACACATTCTAGATCATGCAGCTGGTAAGTGGCAGAGCCAAACTCTCACCCAGGCTGATGGATTCAAAGCCTGCAGGCTTAATGCAACAAATGACTTAATGAAAAATAAACCCTTAACAAAAACCTGTAAATTCTGTTCTTTACTGTGAAGGGAACTTTTTCACAACCTGTAAAATGGAGTATTTGGCTTTATTCTGCATCCAGCTCTATTAAATTTCAGATTGTGAGTTTGGGTTTCTCCTTTTTTAAGCCTCCTTTCTGTAATTCAAGATATTCGCTAGTTGGGACCTCCCTGGCGGTCCAGTTAAGACTCTGCTTCCACTGAAGCAGGTACAGGTTCCATTTATTGTTGGAAAACTAAGATCCCGTACGCCATGCAGTGTGGCCTCCCAAAAGAGACATTAGCTATTAACAGTTATCCTCGGGTTATGCCATCTTCAGATTTGATTGTGTATTGCTTTCTAGCTTTTTATTTACGCTGTTGATAAAAATGATGACTTAGCAAGGGACCCCGTGATGCAAAAACTTAATTCGTAGCAAAAAATAATCTCAGGGTTTACCCTGCTTCTTCTTTGTTCTTGCTTAGCCGTTAGAGAGCCATGTAATTATATCTATTTTCTGGCCCATATTTATTCATTTTTGCCAGAAAGATATGATAATGAAATTTAACAAACACTGTATAAAAATTAAGACTGCAGAATTTCCAAAGCATACCTTTCAAAAATGGAAATAAAGCTAGTATGGTCTGATGTGTTCTTCGTGGATCCATGTTACCTCTACATCATTACAGCTTTTGGTAAATTACTCAGAAATCATCTGCTTATTGATCTGTTTTATAGATGGTAGCTGAAGTTGTCACCAAGCTTCAGTTCAGTTCAGTTCAGTTCAGTTCAGTCGCTCAGTCATGTCCGACTCTTTGCAATCCCATGAACCACAGCATGCCAGGCCTCCCTGTCCATCACCAACTCCCAGAGTCCACCCAAACCCATGTCCATTGAGTCAGTGATGCCATCTAACCATCTCATCCTCTGTCATCCCCTTCTCCTCCTGCCCTCAATCTTTCCCAGCATCAGGGTTTTTTCCAGTGAGTCAGCTCTTCGCATCAGGTGGCCAAAATATTGGCATTAGAGCTTCAACATCAGTCCTTCCAATGAACACCCAGGACTGATCTCCTTTAGGAGAGACTGGTTGGATCTCCTTGCAGTCCAAGGGACTCTCAAGAGTCTTCTCCAACACCACAGTTCAAAAGCATCAATTCTTTGGTGCTCAGCTTTCTTTATAGTCCAATTCTCACATCCATACATGACCACTGGAAAAACCATAACCTTGACTAGATGGACCTTTGTTGGCAAAGTAATGTCTCTGCTTTTTAATATGCTGTCTAGGTTGGTCATAACTTTCCTTCCAAGGAGTAAGCATCTTTTAATTCCATCTGCAGATTTAATCACCATCTGCAGTGATTTTGGAGCCCAGAAAAATAAAGTCAGCCACTGTTTCCACTGTTTCCCCATCTATCTGCCATGAAGTGATGGGACCAGACGCCATGATCTTAGTTTTCTGAATGTTGAGCTTTAAGCCAACCTCTTCACTCTCCTCTTTCCCTTTCATTAAGAGGCTCTTTAGTTCTTCTTCACTTTCTGCCAAATAAGGGTGCTGTCATCTGCATATCTGAGGTTATTGATATTTCTCCCGGCAATCTTGATTCCAGCTTGTGATTCCTCCAGCCCAGCGTTTCTCATGATGTGCTCTGCATATAAGTCATCAAGCTTACTGACCTACAATGTCCAATATTTACCTTTTGTCCTTTTGGGGGTTTACTGGAACTAATTACAGCTTTCTCATTCTACATCTATCCTTAGAACCCTAATAAAAGTTTCCAACAGTTCCACCTCAAACACACATGCACATTCTTTTATTATCATGGGTGGTTGGTCATCTGAACCTAGGAACTGAAACACCGTCACAGTTTCAGACTCTGACATTCAATTTCCTACTTGATATTTTCATTCGGACATCTACATGGCATTTTCAATTTACTATTTCTCCAGTGGAGCTTCTAGTCACCCCAATGTAAAACCAGGTCTTCCCACAATCTTCTCCATCTCAATAAACAGTGAGGCCCTCACCTTGGCATCATCCCTGATCTCACATGCGAGAGTCAATCCATTAGCAAATCTTGTGGGCTCTACCTTTCAACATTTCCCAGAATCCAACCACTTCTCAGCACCTCCATTGCTACATTCTAGTTCAAGTCAGCTTTGACCCTCTTCCCATCACCGCGTGAGTCTCCTGACTGATGCCTCCACCCCACCCTCATTCCACACGGGAGATGCTGTTGGCGTGCTTAGCTGGCCCTGCGGAATCCCTTGAGTCCCTTTGGCTGGTGAGCCTGCCTCTCAGCTGCTGTGGGTGCCTCAGTGAGAACTGTACTCGGCAGTGGAAGCCACCACACCTGGAAGAGCCTGGGATTTACGCAGCCCATACCTTTCTCCAGAGTCTTTACCCAGCAACCAGGGTGAAGGTAAGAAGTCCCTCTCCTTTGTCTCAGGTGGGAAAATCATAACGTGACATTTATCCTCCACGGCTCCCCGTGAAGCTGCTAATGCATGACCCCAAACCACATTCTTGTCCTTCTTCTCCCCTCCTAGCCTTCTCCCTCACCCCCTACCAATTTCTCTGGAAATCACATACACATTCCCATCTCAGGCTCTGCTTCGAGGGAACTGAGCCTAATGCAGTCCCATTAAGAGCAGAGACAGTGGTCCTGTTAAAATGTTTACATCATTCCTTTGCTCAAAATCCTCCACTGGCTTCCCATTTTACCAAGGGGAAGAACTCCCCAAGGCTTTACCATGGCCTCAAGGACGCTACGTGATCTTCCCCAGCTAACTTTCTGACTTCACCTCTTTCGCTCCCCCTTATCCATTCCGCTCCACTCTTGCTCACCTCCTTGATATCTCTCCAGAGGCTCTGCAATCTCCTATATCAAGGCCATTGTATCTAAGTTTCCTCCTCCGAAAAAGCTCTTCCCCCAGACCTCCACTAGGCTTGCTCATGTTTTTCAAGTCTCTGTTCAAATGTCAGTTATTACAGGGGCATTCTCTAACTACCCTACTTTAAAACAGCACACATATCCCACGGCCTGTCACTCCTCTTATTATCTGTCTCCTACTATGAGAATGTAAGTTGCCTGAGAGTGGAATCAGGGCTTGGTGCCTTCATATCCCCAGCACTGAAACAGTGTCTGACATATTTCAGGCAATAAATAAATTTGTTGAATTATTTAAGTAGATGATCTTTTGACTTTCCACACAAAAAACGACACAAACATACATACACATCCAGCAACTTTCTTTGATTTCAAAGCCCTATTACACTATGTGTTCTGTTTTTTACACCTTGGAAACCATTACCTGTGATGGTCACAACAGAAGCAAAATAAAAGTTGGGTTCTTACAACTTTTTGCTGTAATCTATTAATGTTGTTCCACTAGGGAAAAAAACTGGATAATATGTGGAAGTCAAGAAACAATAGAGTTTTGCAATCCAGAAAGCTTGAGAATTGTACTGTTAACTCAAATGGCTTGTAGTCAAGTTGCTAGGCAGTTAACTCCAAAATATGGAG